TCGTCCCTTCCACACGTAGCAATGGCATGCAAATGAAACGAGAAACAAAATCATAGACTTGTTTTCGCAATTAATACATATTTAAATTAGTTTGAATAGATTTCGCGATTAATATGTAGTTTTTCATCCCAATGTCTCGAGAAGTATTTCCAACAAGCGTGTGATTATTTGCACATTTTCATAAGCACTGAAGTGGTTAGTTTGACGATTGCTTTCACCAACCACTTGTCGTTAGAACGAAAGTAATCATTTTTCAATGGATGCTTGTTGTTGTAGACGTGATCAAAAACTGTAGAAAAAGTGACGAATGCAAGAGAGTCGTTAGCATCAAATTGATTTCCATGCAATAGCGGTTCTAATGTATTTAACATTGAGCTGGATACAGTAGAATCATCTAGGACTTCAATTTCTTTTTATGTCAAAAAACCAAAAAGGACACGAATCAATAACGCCTTTACTCGCCAGCACAGATTCCTCCCCTCTCTCTCCCCCCACCCCCACCCCCGCCTTTTAGTGGCGGACAGACTGCAAATCAACCGGACGTTGCACATTTACCTAAAACGGAACTTGAGCATTTGAGTAAAGAGTGAAAAGATTTTAGAAAGTAAGCGAAAGGCTCAGGTGTCCGTTGAATATCTCAATAAATATAAGCATCAGTTGATAACGAAAGCAATAAGAAAATAACTAAGCGATGATAACGAAATTCAACGATGAAAAACAATCAACTAGCAGCAGCCTGCACTACTTGAAATTCTGAATCGTTTTGGTCTTGTTGCATTCTCTCCTAGGGAGAACAAACATGAATGAAACTTCATTGCACTGTCACATAACCTACTGAGAGTCAAATGATCTAGAACGGAATGCTGATGTTGCATTTAGAGCAAGCTTTTGAGGTGTAACTGTGACTATTCAATATGGACCCGTTAGGATGAGTAGGAATAACTAAACTCTAATTTAGCACTTACCAGTGCAAATATGTCGATTTTGGAAAAAACAAGCATTCTCTTGCAAACCAAAACTAGCGACTTAACAGAAAATCGAAAAAAATAGCTTGCCAAAACGTTAACGGAAGAAAATAGCGCATATTACGTTTGAGATTTCTTTTAGCTGATGTTTTTTTCACTATTGATTTCCGTTAGATGAAAGTTGTAACGAGCTGCCGTCTTACCGAAAAAAAGCAGCTTTGCTAGTAGCGCAATTGCGCGGCACATCTGCTACAGTGAACAAGCAGCACCCATGCATTTATTTCGAAAGTTTGCCGGTCTTCACACAGTGGGAAGTATTGCATGCAGCCACTTGGATCATTGAGCTCAAGCGATAGGACTATGATATTTGATATGTCATAACCTGAATTATCACGGGAAATGTGCTGATGACTAGAGATATTCATCCGGATTTCACTGAATAATTTCTCCCAAGCAGTTGCAGCTAAATATCACTTGAATATTAAAAATAAAGAACAAATCAGTCGCTCGTTGTCGGTATTACATTAATGAATTGTGTCAGATATGGTTTAAGAATGAGACTATAGAGAATTGTTTACATCTACAAATTTATAGGGCGAGAAAACTGGCGAAACGCAACGATGTTGCAAAGGCTCAGTGGACTTTTCACATTATTACGATTATTTATTATTTCTACCATTGTAATTTCTGGAGCTCGCTTACCAGGTATAGTAATCGTTTGAAATGACCAAATCATAGTAATATTTACATAGCCATCAAACTTCAGCCAACTTCTGCCAATCAAAAATTCAGCACTTTTAGGATTAACTTCGAAGAGTTGCGGATTGTTAGTCTGGAAAATTGAAAAAATTCGAAAAG